CTTGCATGTTGTAATTATAATTATTATAATTATTATTAGTTGATTGTGGATTTGATTTTGGCAATTGCATTTGAACATCATTTGAAGAAGTAATACTATTATTGTTTTTTAATTGTGTTGGTGGTGTTGGTGACGAAGTAGAGGAAGAGGTAATAATATTATTATTTTTTTGCAGTACTTGCATGTTGTAATTATAATTATTATAATTATTATTAGTTGATTGAACAACGTTGTTTGAAGAAGTAATACTATTATTATTGTTTTTTAATTGTGTTGGTGGTGTTGGTAACGAAGTAATAATATTATTATTTGATTGTGGTACTTGTGTGTTGTAATTATAATTATTATAATAATTATTTAATTGTGGAACATTAATATTTAAATCTGGTGATCGTGATAATATTTGAACATTGTTATTATTATAATCATCATTGTTGTTGTTTAATGGTGGTGTTGGTGATGGTAACGAAGTAGGAGCAATATTATTATAATTATCATTATTTGATTCATTATTTGATTGTGGTACTTGAATATGAGCATCATTATTATTCAATTGTTGTGGCAATGATGGTAAAAACATGTCAGTTATTTTTTTTTGGTTTTTAAATAACTCCACAACGAATTTATGGTCTCCAATATTTGTGTGCCTATCAAGATAGTTTTTTTTTAACATTTCACAGCCGCTTGTAAAAACGTTTTTTCTATTAGAGGCACAACATAGTTTGCAAAACATTACAAACTTTCCATGTATTTTTTTGATTTCAAGCCATTCATACATAATGAGCCAATTAAAATCCGGTTCTTCCTTTCTTTTTTTAAAATAACTATTATCACTAGCACCACTGCCACCTCCACCATTGTTATTATCATTGCCATTGTTCTTTGACGACTTAAAAAAATCATCCATCATCGTTAATCGTTACAAGAAAAAATTTTTTTGTGTCACATTCTCTACATAATTAAATCTCTGCATGTTCCGCAGATCTCCGCACATTTTCTGCACATTCCGCACATTTCTGCACATTCTTCGCACATTCTGCACATTCTTCGCACATTCTGCACATTCTTCGCACATTTTTTGCACACATTTTCCGCACATTACACCAAATTAAATTAAATTATTTCTATTTTTATTTTTATTTTATTTTTATATTTATTTACTATATTTATTTATTTATTTTATTATTATTGTACTACATTTTTATTATTTATTTGTATTCATGTTATCTTATTTATTCATACATTGCATTATAATTATTTAACTTTATTTAGTAGGAATTAGTGCGCTTAAAACATAAAAGAGTGCGAAAAACATAATATTGTTACAGAATTAGGATTTAACACTAGTTTGTTAGTCGAAATACCTAATTCCGAATCAAATCTTTTATTTCTATTTTTACTTTATTTTTATATCTGCATTTATTCTTATTTTATTTTTATTCATTTTTATTTTACATTTTTACTATTTTATTTGTGTTACATTTTTATTTTTATTCGTATAACGTCGAAATTAATTAACTTCATTTAGAAATTAGCATCGCGGTTAGAATGTTACGTTGTAATTAAAGTGCAATATCGCGGCTAGAATGATAGATTGCAATGAAGTTGTTATTAATTAATTTTACTGTATAAAAGAAGCTCAAATTCGACTTGATTGTAAATAACTTTTTAACTTTAACTTGTAATAAAGTTTTAAAATTAACTTAGAAATAAGTTAATAAATTAGTTTGACTAAATAAAACATTTTTCTTAAATCACTATACCAAAATTATTTGCTAATAAAACTAATTCGTTAGTAGCCAATTCATTCTGATCCACACTATCTTAAATTTTATATTGTTATCATCAATTAACATGCTCTCCCAAACAATGATTGGTGACACAAGCAAGTCAAATTTGAGCTTCTTTTATACAGTAAAATTAATTAATAACAACTTCATTGCAATCTATCATTCTAGCCGCGATATTGCACTTTAATTACAACGTAACATTCTAACCGCGATGCTAATTTCTAAATGAAGTTAATTAATTTCGACGTTATACGAATAAAAATAAAAATGTAACACAAATAAAATAGTAAAAATGTAAAATAAAAATGAATAAAAATAAAATAAGAATAAATGCAGATATAAAAATAAAGTAAAAATAGAAATAAAAGATTTGATTCGGAATTAGGTATTTCGACTAACAAACTAGTGTTAAATCCTAATTCTGGTAACACTTGTAAAATAACTTTAACTTTGTAATAAAGTTTTAAAATTAACTTAGAAATAAGTTAATAAATTAGTTTCAACTAAATAAAATGTTTTCTTAAATCACTAAACCAAAATTATTCGCTAATAAAACTAATTTGTTAGTAGCCAATTCATTCTGATCCACATAATCATAAATTTTATATTGTTATCATCAATTAACATGCTCTCCCAAACAATAATTGGTGACAATATTGTGATAAAAGCACTCATAATTGAATTAATTGTATATAACCAGCTCAAATTCAATGTACTTAAAAGATAACTTTTTCTAATAAAGTTAAATATTAACTTAAAAATAAGTTAATAAGTTAGTTTCAACTAAATAAACTCTTTCTTAATATTAAATTACTAAATAAAAATTATCTGCCAATAAAACTAATTTGTTAGTAATAGGCAATTCATTCTGATCCACATAATCATAATTTACATTTTTTATTTTTATCATCAATTAATACACTTTCCCAATAATAATTGGTGACACTAGTAAGACATGATTGAGTGTTGTTGTGAAATTCTCAACTTCCCTTTCACGATCACCAATCCATCCACAAACCTGATTCCATCTGCTTGTATACAGTCGGCACTTGATATAGTGAACCTACTATATAGTAAATCGTACAATATAGTGAAGTTGGAAAATTTCCCATTTCATTGCATATAAATTCTGCTCGATATAGTGAATTTTAATATAAACTCTCAATATAATCATATAGTGAAGTTTTACTTGGTACTGTTGTATTAATTAGAGCTCGATATAGTGAAGTCATTATAAAAAATTTGTCGATCATTATTTAATTGTATTTAGCTCATTAATATGAACTTGGTAGTTTGTTGCAAAAAAAATTTTTTAAAAGTATTATGCATTAGATTGAATAATTAAATTTAGTAATTGAATTTAGTAATGTGTCACGAAAAAAACAAAGTAATTGAATTTAGTAATGTGTTGCGAAAAACAAAGTAATTGATTTAGTAATGTCTTGCAAAAAATAAAGTAATTGAATTTAGTAATGTCTTGTGAAAAACAAAGTAATTGAATTTAGTAATGTGTCGCGAAAAAACAAAGTAATTGAATTTAGTAATGTGTCGCGAAAAAACAAAGTAATTGAATTTAGTAATTGAATTTAGTAATGTGTCGCGAAAAAACAAAGTAATTGAATTTAGTAATGTGTTGCGAAAAAAACAAAGTAATTGAATTTAGTAATGTGTCACGAAAAATAAAGTAATTGAAATAAAGTAATTGAATTTAGTAATGTGTCGCGAAAAATAAAGTAATTGAATTTGGTAATGAGTCGCGAAAAAACAAAGTAATTGAATTTGGTAATGTCTCGCAAAAAAATAAAATAATTGAATTAGTAATGTCTCGCGGGAAATAAAGTAATTGAGCTTAGTAATGTGTCGCGAAAAAACAAAGTAATTGAATTTAGTAATGTGTTGTGAAAAAACAAAGTAATTGAATTTAGTAATGTGTCGCGAAAAATAAAGTAATTGAATTTAGTAATGTCTCGCAAATTAAAGTAATTTAATTTAATAATGTCTCGCAAAAAATTGATAATGAAATCCAAGAATTTGGAAATGTTGAAATTACTGGTGAAGAAATTATTAATCATGTAAGACCAACAGCCAAGTCTGAGCCAGGAGATGAATTATCAATTTTTAATCAAAAAATTACTACAAAAATGGCATTAGAATCTTTAAACATTGTCCTTTCTTATATTCAAGATCCACCTGAAAATCTTACATTAGAATTTAAACACATTAATTCAATAAAAGCAATTAAAAATCACATATCCAAACATACTGCTTCTAAAAAAAAACAAAGCACACTGGATAGTTGGATTATTAAATAATTATTTTTATGAAATTATCTATATATTGTTTATTTATTTTTCTTTTTTATGTATTTTTGATTTTTTTTTCGTTATAGTTGTATCACGGGATTTTTGTAAAAATTTGCCGATCTTTTTATGGAAAATATTTTTAATAAATTTTGCGATATTTTGGTTTTCTATATGGTGTGACAACATTCTGTTATAAAAATTGACAACATTTTGTTTAACGTTTTGTTGTAAAAAATTGCAACATTTCGCTGTAAAAAATTTGCAACAACGTTGTGGGTCATTATTATAATAAAGTTTAAAAACTTTTTTTTATTGCGTTAGTATTCATTTCAACCACCATTGTCTATCAAACACTTGAATATTTTATGGTTATTTTTTTAATTGACAAAGTTAGAAGCACGGGATTTTTATATCCACAATCTTCAGAACTTACTGATGTAATTTTTTTAATTTAATTTTGTTTACCTTGATATACAGCTCCGAGCTTTTTATAAGTAAAATGAGCATGATTTCTAAGCTAAAAATGCTCTTTGTGATGAGATACACATACAAATATTCTTAATGAAATAACACTTTTGTTTTAAAGTCTGATCTAGCAAACTTGTCAATAGTTTAACGAACTTGTTGAGTGAATCTAATTATTATTATGTAATGAAAGTTGGATAGAATGATGTCTAATATTTTGAAAGCAAGATTTTTGTATTTTATCAAACAATTGAGTAAAAAGGTCTGAAGATGGAATTATTTGAGAAACAAATTATATTAAATTTTCTTTTTTCAAAAGATATATTTACAATGAAAACCTTCTTGAAGCTTGCAATGAATTAAACTTTGATTTTACAACACATTGATTATCTTGATTCTTCCATTAATATATTTTAGATACATAGATTTGTAAATATGCATATACAAAGTATATTATATTATAAAATTATAAAATTATTTTGCAAATAATAAAATAAAAAGAACAGTCTCTCAAAAAAAAAAAAAAGTAATATAAAATAAATGGATCTTTATGAAAACTCACATTAATATTAATTATAATAAATAGAAGAGCAGGATGAAAATGATTTATATAAATTTTGAGCATTAGATTCAAAAACATTAAGAATTGACTCATTGACTTTGACCCAAGATTCAAGTCTTGATTTAGCTTGTTTCAAGTAATCTTCATGAGGAAATTGTCTGACCTCTGTCTCATCACATGTCGAAAGTATGTGGACTTGATGATTTGAATCATAACCAGTATGCTTTAAGTTGATTATGGTC